CTTTTTGCCGCCCCCAAAGGAGTGGGTAAATTCCACTCATTTTGTGGGCAGCAAAAAGCTGCCCTTTGAGCTGCCGCCATGGCTCTTTTGCACCCTTTTGGCGGAGCATATATGCATGCTGCACCAAGAGGGCACCCTGATACTGTGTGCCATGCAGATAGGTGCATGGCATCGGGGTGGAGTCAGGGTGGCCAGCATGAATAGGGAAATCCCATTGATTCAGTGGTTCTATTCTCGTTGGGACTAAGAATAAGATTTAGGCCTATATCTTTTAGGCTTGGATTGGACAAAGACTATTCATTTCCATACATATGATAATCTGTTTATCCGTGCTTGGCTATCATCCTCAGTTCTCAGGCCCTAAACAGATGGTCCAAATGAAATGGCTTCTGGCCACCTCAGGGATATTGCATTCAGATGACATACATCCCCCAAAGGGTTCGGAAGCCACCCGAAAAAGGAGCCAATTTAATCCACTCCTGCCGGTTCGACAGTGGAACACACTCCCTCGGAGAGTAGTGGAGTCTCCTTCCTTGGAGGTCTTTAAGCAGAGGCTGGATGGCCATCTGTCGGGGATGCTTTGATTGGGAGTTCCTGCATGGCAGAATGGGGTTGGACTGGATGGCCCTTGTGGTCTCTTCCAACTCTATGATTCTATGATTCTATAGTTGCTGGCTCCAGGACTATCGCAACCGCACTGCCCTCTTCACTCCTTGCCACCTGTCTGCTTTGGCCTTCAGTGACTCTTAAAACAACTGCTTATAACATAATTACCTGCTGATATTTTTTGCATTATTGTTTCGCTAACCACACACATATACAGAAATAATATGTACAATTATCTATTAAATGATAGACACCACTCCATGTAAAGTGGACTGCATTCCACCAAAACATATTGTCAACTACATCTTGTTAGTCTTTAATGTGTCATAACACTCTGTTCTCTTTGCTACCTCATTGTGTTGTGTGGATAAAACCGGGGAGATGCATGCTAATTTGTGCTTCTTGGAAGAAAGGTGAGATTAGGACTAGGATTACAGTTTATAGAATTATCCTGTTCTATCAAGCCTGCTTCTATTATTTTTTGGGTGGAATCCTGAGAGACATACATAGAGTGCATGACTCCATCTCCATAGTTATATCTCCTAGTGCTTCCCAAACCCGACTTCCCCCATCATAGTCTTTTCCATTGGAGGGTAGGAGGACCAGCAGAGATGCATCCAGCTATTTCCCATCTGCAGATGCCTCTGGGAGTGATTGTGAGGTCCTTGCCGATCATGTCCTTGCAGTGCTTTCAGTTACAGGAAAATAGCTGGAGGCATCAACATGGAAATGATTTGGTTTTGGAGGCCAGGTTTGGTTAGATTTTGTTCATTTCATAGTCAATAAAAAATTCTGAACTTTGCAATGGACAAAAAAGTGGGTTATAGTGGAAGAAGATGGATTTATAGCCAAAGAAGTGGCTAATGACAGCAGAGGTTGGATTTTGATTATTGTAACTTTCTAACAGGATGCCAGCCATTATCATTCAGTTAGTTTTACTAAGTTCTCCATCATTTCCCTCTGGTACTCCATCAGTTCCTTGGCAAATAGATGCCAGGAACATGGGTCCTTGTTTGTTGGTGACATTTCCACAAACCCTGAGGCAGACTGTCACTCAAGTGTCAAGACTTTCAGTCCCCACACTCATTCTGACAGCAGCTTTCTGCTGCTCTGTTTGTTGTCAGGGTTTTCTGCTGAGTTTCATTGCTTGTTTTGTCTCATCTCCCAGCTTCCTGACATATGCCCGATTCTTGTAAAAACTCACTTGCAGTATACACAGGTGGCCCTGAGAGCATTTCTGGATGGCTACTTTTAAAATCTAGCTTCCCTTGGTTGCAGTTTTCCATAATGTCTTTTAAATTCTTATTTAGCACTTGGGGCCAAAAATTAAAGAGCAAACCTGGCTCTTCAAAAACCATTTAGACCTCATATATATAATCATTCTCCATTCACTGATTCCACTTACCATGGCTTGAAAATATTCAGAACTTTTTACAAAAAGCAAACCTTGCCATTTGCCATTTTATATATGTGGTACCATTTTACTATGCCATTGTGTAAAGTAGGACTTGAGCATCCATGCATCTTGGTCCAGAAACCTAACCCCAGCAAATACTGTTGTACTTTTTTTAATTACAATTAGGATAGAAAAAATGAGATTTTCTAAAAGCTTTGATGTAATGGTATTCTTTCCATACAGAGATGTTGCAAGCATTAAAATATGAAGTTCATTTTCTTGTTTTAGCTCTTAAAACAGCCAGTGGCAGCTGGTAGCTCCCATGTCAGTTGGATGGTGAATAAATCCCAGCTTTTAGCCTAAACTTTAAATAAACTACTCAAGGTGTTTTAAAGTTTGGGCTAAAACCCAGAGTGGTTTCACCAGCTCACTGACCTAACCACCACTGACAACAACTCCATAAGGTTAAGCCAATATTACTATTTCCATACTATTGAAGCATTTTGTATGTCAATGTAAGAAAGTGGAAAATGCAAATAATGCATAAAAATTTTTCAAAAGGGCCCATCAGTCTTGGATAGAGTGCATTCTTTGTGCACCATAGGTCCCAAGTTCAGTGCTTTTGATCGTTTTTGGGAAACCATGCTAGTTACAAACCCCGCCTTTTACCTAGAGAACCATCACCAGCCAAATTGGGCAATGCAGGACCAGATTTACTCACAGTCCAGATCATTAGAAGGCAGGCTCAGATGCTTATGGAGTCTAGTACAGCTGCTGCCTATAGCGTTTCTTTTTCCTTTCCTGGCCCCCAATTCAACTGGAGATGGATATGAGCACAGTGTTATACTAGTCATGATGAGGAAACATCACGAAACCAAATGTCACTGCTGCTGTATTATACTACCTCTGCTATTAATTTGGGTAATAGAGAGCAGCCACTGGAGTGCTGCCAGTGATTAATGGGTTGGGTAGAGATATAAGTGGCCTCTTTTTCTGTGCCGAAACATTTATTATTTGCATCTCACTTTACTTGGTGGGATGCTTGTGGTGATATACGTGGCATTAGCCGTACTGGAAGGGTAGTGTCGGCTGAATGATACCATCTCATTCAAGGACTGAGTTTACATGTTGTCAACATGGGATTTTATAGATTTAGCTGGCGGAGCCAAGGTCAGGTTTTGCTGACTGGGGGTGGGGCTTTAACAGGTCATTGCCAAATAGTTGCCAAACCAAGCGGTCAACATTGGTGAATTAGGGAGTTGGATCAATACGGAGTGACCCATGGTCTAAGCAGTGATGTTCTTCATCCCTCACCCTGAACTGGTGTGGTGAGGTCTCCACAACTGTTGGACCATGAATCCATAGTCAGATTAATAGAAAACAGCATTTCATGCACACAAAATAGAAAATGTTTTTTACCTGCACAGAAAATGCTGTTTTCTGCTCAAAAATACCATATGTGAATTTTGTGCAGAACAAGTCTCGAGCTATGAATAATCTTCAAAAACTGCATTTTGTTCAAAAGAAATTTATCTGTAGGAAGAAAATGCTAAAATTACTTGTTGCTTCCTGCAAGAGTGAAATGAGCCAAGGATTACATCCATGGGGGCAACCAGAAGAAATCAACCATTTAGGATACTATTCTAGTGCATATTTTAAGTGTTTCATTCAAAAATAAAATTAATGAAGAAGTACATAACTAATAGATGTAATTGAGAAGACTGAGAAGAGGCAAACTTTATTCCTATGCAGGAAATGCTCTTTTCTGCACATAAATACCAGGTCTTAATTTTATGCAGAATAAGTTCTAACATCAATCACGTATTTTCCTTGTGAGGTTTCCCTCTGCAAGAGAAGCACATTTTTCTTCCATCTCCTGATGTATCTACTCCATACAGAAAAAATATCTGATTTTAAATCCAATGGAAAAAAGCCATGCACATAGGTAAAATAGCTAATGAAAACCTACAGAGCTCAGTGATGTTTCCAAATAAGGTCTCCTCAACAAAATTCAGGCATACTATGCTATTCCACACTGCCTCATATAATTGTGTGGAGATGATTTAACAATTGCAAAGCTCCTTTTACATCCCAAACATGTTATAGCGACAACTAACAATCAAAGCTTGTGCATGTGTATGTGCTTTCAAGTTGCCTGTCAACTTATGGTGAGCCCATGAATTTCATAGCATTGTCTTGGCAAGGAATAAGCAGAGGTCAAATTTAGGTGCTCTTAAGCCCTTTTACATAAAAAAGGAAATCTAGAACCTAGAGGTTGAGTGTTATCTCAACCAGCACTCCTTATTAGCTTTTGATTAGTACCTAACCACCAAGATCAGTGTGTGTTTAACAATAATAATATTTATTTATATCCCGCCCCTCTGCAGAGCAATCGGGGTGGCTTACAACATTAAAATTTCCATACAGATATATTCATACAATCTAAACAGAACATAAAAATCCCAAATCCACCTGTCCTTTAAGAAGTAAGGGTTCTTCTTAGTCTAGGCCTGATGGTGCTGGGTCTGGTGTCTCTCCCACAGATGACATCAGAGGAAATGGAGGGAGGGCTCTTATTATTATTCTAGGCCCGATGGTGCTGGGCCTGGTCTCTCTCCCCCAGATGACACCAGTTTAGGGTTGATTGTGCAAGACATATTGGAGAACAAAAGTATCTTCTCTCCCACTCCCACTCCTGTTGGTGTTTGTGGACAATGAAGTCAGCACTGCGTTTCCTTCTTACAGAATTTTCCGTTTCACTAAGTAGGATTCCTATCCTTTTAATGGTTGTGTAAGAGCAGAAATTTCAAGTGTTGCTTGCCATGCAACAAGGTAACAAGAAACACCTACTGAAATTCCCTCTCCTTCTTGTTGATGTTGTATGCCCTTCAAGTCATTTCCAACTTAGGACAACTATCATGGGGTCTTCTTAGCATATTTCATGGGGGGGTGGATTGCCATTGCCATCCTCTGCCCAAGGTCACCCAGTGGATTTTCATGCCTGAAGAGGGATTTGAACCCTAGTCTCCAGAGTCATAGTCCATCACTCAAACCATTACACCACACTGGGTCCCTACAAAACCAATAAAGGTACAGGAGCCATCTCCAGTTTTCATTCAGGCAACCCTATCACTAAAGGAACTTGGAAACATTAACTTAGGGGGGTTGCAGACTGTCAGAAATAGTGTGAATTCAGTCCACTTTTAGGGTTAGGGTTAGTGCTAGGGAATCATGGGAATTGTTATTTTTCTGAGACGTTGAACCTTCTTTGTCAGAGAACTCTAGTGCCACAATAAAATACAGTCCCCATGATTCCCTAACCTTAACCCTAACCCTAAAAGTGGACTGAATTCACACTATTTCTGACAGTCTGCAACCCCCCTTACTCTCCTGGTGAATTATGCATTATTTGGTAATATGACGAACTAAAATTATGACACGTCTAAATTACCATCCATTTTCTTCAAAGTTAGTAGTGAACTCTCATTACCAAATATTAAGAAACTCCAAAAGGTCTTTTTAATTGTGAGGGGGCCTCTGGGAAAGACTAATTATAACTAGCAATTAAATAGTTATTTTCATCTCACCAGTTTCCAAGACCACTTTAAAATGAAGGCAAATTCATAAGAGGAAATATGTTAATAAATCAGTGTGTTGATGAGTCTCCATCTACAAGGGGGGGATCAGTTTTCTTAAATTGCTTGATATAAACTCCATATTGGCAAGGATAGAATGATTGAAAGAAAACTCCACCTATTAACAGCAGAGATAATTTTATGTACATATGTCGAGAGAATTTCCTGGGAAGAGTTGAGAGAGTCTTTGCAGTACCACTTAACTTGTTTGCAGTGTAATTGCATTTAGACCAAGGTCTTCTGAAGGAAATGGCTGACTAAATTAGCATTAGACAGGTTCCTGTGGGGCTCAGAGCATTGTGGTTGCCTCCAGAAAGGACAAGTTGACCCAAGAGAGGCCAGATGCTTACAAGGCATGGTGTTAATTGATTTTCCCAAATGGGGCAAGTTGTACCACTTGGGGAAATGATTTTTTAAAAATTAAAAATCTCAGCAACTGAAGCGTATGGTTTAAATTCTCGTCATTTTTCCTCTTCCAATCCTTCTTAGTTTTCTCTAGCCAGCTGCAAGTTTGTCTAAGATGCCTCAACCTCACTCCAGCATTCTTTGGCAGAGAAGGCTAAAGACTGGGTAAACTATAGATCCCAGGATTCCCTAGGATGGAGCTACACCACTTAATGAGGTGTCTAACTGTATTATTTCTACAGTGTAGATGCACTCATAGTCTCCTAGAAGTTAGTGGAAAGACAAACTCAAAAGAAATGAACTCACTTGCTTTTGGAAAGCACTAAGGCCTTCGGGGACAAATGTGTCTCCACATTTGACAAAGAAATGTTTTACTGTTTCAGTCATCACCTGATGTCAAATGTGGAGACACTTCTGTAAAGAAGCAGAGAAACAGTCCTATGCATGCTTTGAGTGCAAAAAAAGTCATTTATTCAGTTCCTGGAATCTTTGGATAAGACTGAGGAAAACTCTGAAGAGCTGTGGATAGTGGCTGTAGAGTCTGTTTCACTTTATTAATCTTGGACCTAAATCCATTTGCTAGTCCTTACTCAAGTAGACCCACTGAATCAATGGAAATGGGTAAGTCAGCACTTACATAAGTGCCACTGATTCAGCAGATGTGCTTTAGCAGGGACTAGCAATTGGATTTAAGTCTTGGTCTTCAGTTGTTAAGTCAGTTCTGATCTTGCAGCCCATGGGCCCCTAAGCTTCAGGGACTCCATGAACTAGGAGCAAAAACCAGAACTTTCCCTTTTCATTTCTTTCCTGTTGCTTTGAAAATTGTATGTCGGTTTATTTTTTCTGGACGGGGGTCCATTGTTTTCAGCAGGTTCTCCAAAAGGGCTGTGACACCCCCACCCCACCCTAGTTTCGAATCACTGTTCTAGCTGCTCACAGATGGATTTAAGTTGGGTTCTGGTACCAGCACCACCAAACAAATATATGGCTAAAAAAATAAGTAGATTTTCAAATGTGTCTTTGGAAAGGTTTTGCACTGAAAAATCTGAAGACTGTTAGAGACAGTGTTGGATGAGATGGCCCTGCACACAGTTTTGGTATCATTGCTTCCGTGATGGAGTTCCAAGGATACTATGCTGAAAGAATGGCTCTTTAAATCAGAAGGCAACCTCTTCACTATCAGCAAACCACACCAACTTTCTGAAACATCTTCTGTTTCTTTACCGTCTTCCAGACATCCTTGTGTGATTCGTGGACAGGTGATGACATCAGATGGCACTCCACTTGTCGGCGTGAACATCAGTTTTGCCAACAACCCCCTCTATGGCTACACCATCAGCAGGCAAGATGGCAGGTATGTAGACACCTTCAGCTTTTGGGCTTGGTCTAGGACAGTGATTCCAAAACTTTGGTCCTCTAGGAAGTGTTGAACCTCAATTCCCAGAACCTCCAGCAGGCTTGGCCAACGATCAGGAATTCTGGGAGCTGAAGTCCAAAACATCTTGAGGACCAAAGTTTGGGAACCACTGGCTTAGAGCAGAGGTTTGGCTCTGGATATGGAATTCAGTGCTGATTCATAGGTCAAAATGCCCAAGTACACTCAGAGGGCAGCATGACTCCTTTTCAACAGTACATTCTTGCTTTGAATGATGGACTGAGCAGGGCCAAAGACAATATGGAGGGGAGAAAACCAGTTTTCATAAAGGCCAGAGCATCGGCATTCATCAAAGCGAACGCCTGACGCTTTTTCAACAGGAAGAAAATATTGCTAGTATTAATTTTGATTCAGCTGGTGAGGTGTTCCTTTCTCTCCCCCACTCTTTTGTGTTCTTTTATTTTCCTATCATCGCTGCTCATCTCCATCAAGGTAACTTCAAGGCAAGGGCAGGGGCTGATGAGCTGCTAGATTGCCCTGAATACAATGGGGCCTCTGTCTGTTAAGTCTCCCTTGACACAAGAGCGATGCTTCCTGACTGGTCCAACTTATTCCCTCACCATCCCTGGTTCACATGCTTTTACCACAGCTCATTAGAGTTCAATCCTCCGGGCATCTCCATTCACCAATGTGAAGAAGCGGTACTTCCATAAAGAAAGGACTTCTCATTTTCCAGTAGTTTACTGGGTGTAATTTTTTAAAAGGTATTTAAAAGGAAAACACTAAAACTGTTTCTATAGCCTCTGTTTTCCAAGCACTCCTTGTTTAGTACTCAACCTTGGCCTGAGGCTGCTTTGAAAGCTTTGCCAAACACTAACTGTTAAAAATGCCCTCATCAAGGCTTAAATGCTGTTCAGCTTGCTGGCAAGCAAAAAACAAGGCTTTTAAAAGTCAGCAAGCAACTTGGCTCTGGGAATTTGGTGTCTCTGCTTGAATTGCAGAGTAAACACCTTGTTGTTTTCTGGTTCCTGCTTTAAAATCAAGATGTTTTGTTTCTGCTTCGTGGACTGAAATCATCTATTCTTCTTGTTGTTGTTATTGGCTGAGATCATGCATCAGAGGAGTGAAATAGATGGGCAAAATAAAGCAGCTTCCAGCCACTTTGAACGTGGGGCATCTAGATGACGTACATCTCCAAAGTGGCTGGAAATCAAAAGAAAGCTACGTTCTGGGGTTTAAAATTAGAGTAAAAAGAAGCCAGGATTCTCCAGCTTAGCTTGGAAAATGCACATCTTCATGCCTGCACATAAACATGGAGCAAATGTGGGGCTGAGGCAAAGCCGTGAAAATGTGACAACGCCAATGGATGTAATTACAATGTACACAAAGCAGACAATCCAACAGAAGGGCATGGGATGAAGAGGGCATGTATGGGTGGGTGGCTCCATGATTGTGCTTTGCCAGTGTGTCACTTGCACACTGATTCACTGATGCGCTGTACTGGTGGAGCATCTCATATGCGACTGTGTGGCTGATCAAAGGGTTGGGCATGCAGTGGGATGGCATCTGGGCAGATGTGGGAAGTACTTGGAGGACACAGGCAGCATGTTTGTGCGACGATGTATATGCATGGTGGGGAGGCAACAAAAAAAATTGTACATTTTTGGTGGTAGAAAATACATTTTCTGCACAGAAAAACCATGTATTTTCTACCACCAAAAATGTTTCCTGCACAGAAAAAACAACACAAAGACAGTTTCCTGTGGAGAAAACATGGGGGTGTGTGCCACCACCACCCACCCACACACATTTTCTGTGTAAAAAAACTGTGTGCATTTCTTTGTAAACCTCCAAAAAACTTTTGAAACTGTAAATCTTGTGGCTGCTCTATTTTTTATAGCATTTCCAAGGTGTTAGGACATTTTTTTATCAAGAAAATGAAAGCTAATGAATATTTTTTCCATCTCAAATTAGAAACCCTCTAAAATATATTTATTTACTCATTTTAAAAATGGTGCATCTGCCCATGTTCTGAGTTAGCTGGGGAACGGTTGATTTTTCCTTTGTTTCAGAGGATATAACTCCAATCTTTAACTTTTTCCTTAGAGCCATCTGTTTATATGTTTTAAGATCTTAAATAAATGTTGAATGGTTACTTCTTCTGTCTGTTTTATATAGATTATTTTTTGTATTATATTTTAGATGATGGGTATCTTGTGTTTTAATGGTTTGTGGTTGCATAATAAATGCAAGCATACATATTTTAGTTGAAGGAGTTTCTCTTTCTCTCTTTTTTTTTTTATGCAGAAAAACGAAAGAGATACCATAATGCTATTATGGCTAGAACCCTAAACAAAATGAACACCAACATAACAAATAGCACCACTGAGCCATAAACAAAGCAAAAAATAAATAAAAGGAACAATCAGATGCAACAATTTGGATCCTTTGAATAAGGCGAAACAACTTGTCCTAGCCAGTTCTAGCTGGATCTCTAAAAGAAACCACATCCATTCATAAAAAAGAAGGAATTGCTATTGCCATTTAAGCTGAGCCAGCATGGCATAGTGGTTTGAGTATTGGACTGTGACTTTGGAGATCAGGGTTCGATTCCCCACTCAGCCATGGAAACCCACTGGGGGACTTAGGCAAGTC